GAATAGAAAAGAAAGAGAAGGTGTCGGGCCAGGTTCGACTTAGTTCACATAATGTATCTTCAGGAATAGGTTATCTGTATACAGATGTGCAGGTGCACAATGTAACTTGTAGGATGCTGGTAGATACTGGGTCTCCTGTTTCTGTTCTCTCCTATAGGGAGTTGTAAAAGTGGGATTAGACAAACAGTCGCGGCAGGGATTTGGACCAAATCTCACAACAGCGAACGGAAACCAACTCGATGTTAAGGGGTGTATTCCTTTAGTTTTTGAAATGGGACCATATAAGTTTGAACAAACCTTTATAGTGGCAGCTGTAGATAACCTATCAGGTTTACTAGGGATGGATTTCTTAGTGAAATATGAGAGTGAAAGTCAGCTTCAGAACGAAATCTTAGTAACCTCTCAGGGAAAAGTTGAGTTAAGCAGAAAGATACATAACAGTGTTAAGGTAGTACTCTCTGTTATTGACATAGCACCATCAGGAGGTGTTTGTACAGAGTCAGCTGCGGTAATTAGTACTGTGGATATGGTAACTAATGTTGAGAGTTTGAAATACACAGAGTTAGATGAGCATTCTTTGAAATTCAAATATGCTTTGACTTTATAGTTACGGAGGATATCAAACCCTTTGAAACAACTTTGAAATTCAAATAGACTATAGTCAAAGTTTTGAGGGAGAAAATGACTTGAAGGATGTCTCGTTATTGGAAAAGGGTTCACGTGAGGATACTAGCCTAGCTACGGTAAAACACCACCATGCTACACGCTTATCCAACTAATGATAGTCATGCTTTTGACAGGACTGATAGCGATGATTATAATTGGTACCGTTATGTCTGATCCGTTACACTATACAATACTAGTAGATAGTGTTACTAAACGCAAATGCTTGTGTTCGACACTGATGTTGATACTAGATAGGAAGGGACATTGTCAGACAGATAGAGTAGCTATAGGTAGACCCAGGGTTTGATATCCTCCGTAACTATACAGGTGGTACGGGTATGCTATGTAGACCTCCTACATAGGTAGTTGATTTTTAAAACTAACTAGTGGGCGACTTTACTATAAATAAGTACAAACGTAGAGTGTCTAGATTTTAGTTTAGATAAAATGCAGGACATGGGTGGGGGTACTGAAAACAGTGAGAACGACTGTTACCAGTCGTCAGGACTGAATTCTCCCAGATAGCAACGTTGACTGTGACCAGTCGATTCTATCTACATCCTATATATACATATGCTAGATAGACAGCAGAATACATAGAAACTAGATTATGATAGTAATTCAATATCATGGAAGTGATCTTCTACGGACTATAAGTACAGTTATGTGTTAGTCTAAGGGAGATAACCTACTTCATAATTACTATGGGTTTTATGTTTGTAAAGCAACGTTACGGGATTCAACATTTTAAAGAAAGTAATTTTTAATAAATTAGACAGGTAAAATAGTGTTAACTCTTTCCGTACCGTTGTCGTGTACACACGACAAAAAACATGCTTCCTGGTCCCCGTTGTCGTGTACACACGACAAAAAAATATGCCGTCTCATCCCCGTTGTCGTGTACACACGATTAGAGACTTTGATGTTACCTGTTTACTGATTAGATGGTTTCAGCAGACGACAGACTTGTAATCCAATTATTTTCGGTAAAATTCGGGAGAATCAGTATGTAAGAAAGTTTTTGATAGGTGCAAAATACACATGTTTCATCATGTGACCCTTTGTTTCGTATTTCCCGCGAGTTGTTTCTTTTGGTGGTCACCAGTGTAAACAATATGGCGGCGAGCGCGTTTGACACGAACGTTGACACTGCATCAGATGATGAAGGAGGGGCTGGAATCCAAGATGACGATAACAATTTCGGTGGATCCGACCTTGAATTGTCTGAGCTGGACTCGGACAGTAAAGATGACATCCCACTTGCCGACATCATCCCGCTGGCAGACCTCGTAGACCGAGGTGGTGGAGATGCTGGACACGCCCCCAACGATTGCCGCTGGACAGCTGATCTAAATCATATACTTGTTAGAGATTTTACGGGAGTGGCAGGGCCTTCTACAGCACTGGATGCAGAGAAGACAGAGAAAGATTTTTTCCATCTAGTCTTCCCGGAGTCTTAATACGACAGGATGGCTGAGCGGACCAACATATATGCTACTCAGCAGATCCGTGTCAAGGCAGACAACTCTTGGCTTGCCACTACGGCCAGAGAGATGAAGACTTTTTTGGGCATCATCATCTTCATGTCTTTGCTGGACCTACCGAATGCTAAGATGTATTGGTCATCTGATTGGATGTTCCATACATCTCTGCCCCAAATTATGACCAGACTAAGGTAAATTACCAGGGGTACGTTCGAGACGCTGTCCTGGACAGCCGGGACAGACAGAACAGCTCTCGAATGCGATGGCACAGCTGTTCCGGACTGTCCAATCTGTTCCCGCCGTGGAGGTGGTGTGGCGCGGCACAGTGACGTCACAAACATGGCGACTATGGAAAAGGACTCGGTGTTTTACAAGTGCTCCACCTGTTCAATCTATTGTGCAACAGTTGAAGCGGCAAACGCACATACATGTCAGCGGAGGGGAGACGATCGTATGTTTATTTAAACAAATTAAGGCAGTATTCTCCGTGTTAAAGTCTGGTATCTTATAATCTGAAATGTCATGCATTATTATCAGATTATAGTGCCATGTGCTGTTTTGGCGGGGGTACTGAGACTGTAAAACAAATTAAGTATATTTTCGTTCAAATCTACATTGGTACTATACGTTGTATTAAGTAATAATAACGAGGAACATGATATCCATGTATATTAGTTAAATGATAGACCAACAAACTTTTGATTGGACGTACAAATTAGCTAATGTCAGTAAACATATTAAGAATGACACAAATGCAAATTTGAATGAAAAAAGAATGAACATAAGGTACCAAGGGGTATTCCGTCACAATCGAGCTTTTGTAAACACAATCAAAGCGGACGCATTCAATGTTACATCAACATATTTCTTTATTATATAGAGAATCCGATGTCTTGGTTCACCTAACATAATATTTGAATGACCAAATCTGACACTCCTGTAATTTTTAATTACAAGCACACTTGTCCTGGCAGAAAATTAATTATTAAGCCTTCTTCCGGTATGATAGGACACATCATGATAATGGTCTTTTTTCTTTACAAGAGGCCCATGGGCCTTAACGGTCACCTGATATATTTATACAGAGAGTTGATTTTGTTTTTAACATGAACAGAAATATTATTCAAAGTGACAAAAAACAATAAAACCACCTTACTCAATATCTAGCATACAGATTTCAGACTAAAAAGGATTTGAAACTAGCACCTCTGATTCTTAACAAGGAAAATGAAGAAATTTTAGCACACTGACTCCTTTGAGCCCCACCCTACAGCCCTTGGGGGTAGGGCTGGCTCAAAATTTTCAAAGTATCAAACTGTCAATTCAAGGTTATAATTCCAATCAAGTTATTAACATGTA